GCCGGGGCCTCAGCTTCTCCATGTCTTCAGCCATCGCGTCCGTCACGGTGACGTTCTCGAACATCCTCACCTCGGTGAGTAGCTCGGGATGGTGCCCTGACCTCAGCCAGGGACGTCTGCTTTCCCAGACGGGAGAAGGGACAGGAGGTGAACAGGAGGCGGGGCGGCTGGACCCCTGCTCCTCCAAACACGGAGCCAGCCGCTTCCGCCGCCCGCAGTGCTGCTAGTGGACGTGGGGCCCACCTGCAGAAGGCCGCCTGCTTGCCTGCCCTCCCCGGGAGCCTCCCTCTGCAGCCTCGCTGTCTCCCGGGGTCTGGGACTTAAGCGTGACATGTGGGGCCAAGGGTCCTGGAGGCCTGTCCTCTGTGGACCGCGCTCACATGGTGGAAGAGGGCCAGACACCGTCTCTGCGGGGCCTTGCTCGGGGCTGGCCCGGGGTCCAGCACCACCCAGGAGGCCACCTCCCTTCTGTGGGTGGGGGGACTGGCCTGACTGATGATGGCGACACCTGGGTCCCGGTCCCGGCCCCGAGGCGAGGCGGGAGGTGTGCGGGCGAGGGCCGGGCGAGGGCCTGGAGGCGAGGCGGGAGGTGTGCGGGCGAGGGCCAGGCGAGGGCCTCAAAGCTGTCCTGCCGCAGGCCTTGCTGGGCTACGTGCTGTACGGAGAGTGCCAGGAGGTGCTGTGGTGGGGCGGCGTGTTCCTCATCCTCTGCGGGCTCACCCTGGTCCACAGGGAGCTGCCGCCCCCCTGGAAGGCCCCGCACAAGCAGCAGTGATGGCCGCCGGGCGAACTGCCAGAGATGGCCCAGGGAGGGCCCCAGCAGCGGGCCCCGCAGGCCTCGGTCCTTCCTGCCGTGCTTGTGTCCCCATCGCACTCGTGTCACCACGTGCTCGTGTACCGTCGCTACGTCCACTCCAGCAAGCCTGGGGGATGCTGGGGGCCTGGGGGTGGGCCGCTTCATGGCGCAAAACCACGCTGTGCATCACACCTGGCCAGGTAGAGGCCGGTCCCTAAGCCAGAGTCGTGACTGGTGGGGTTCCTGACGCCCCAGGTCGGTGTGTGAGGCCACCGGGACACGCCTGTGTGTCATGGCGAAAGAAGGAAGCTGGGTAAATAAATGCTGTTTTCTAAGTGCAAACCCAGGTGTGCCCCGATTCTTTCCTGCCGTGGGAGGAGGGAGCGGCCAGGGCGAGCCGAGGTGCCTGGTGTGGTGGGGCGTGGGCCTGCCCAGACGTGGGCCCCTCGTGGCAGGCTCTCACCTCTGCTCTGCGGTGCGGGAGGCTCTGTCCACAGTCTTGGCTCAGCAGGGCAGTTTGGCTGCACCTCAGAGACCGTGTTTTATTTTTACTTATCAGGGAGGAAACGGGCCTTGGAGGTGGCCTCTGCTCACTCTGGGTCTCTTCTGTCCTCTGCATTTGTCCCCGGGCTCCTGGGCTTTAATGTCTCAGCACAGCACTGCCACCTCCGCCTGCCCAGGCCCCATGTGCGTCCCGCAGCCTGGTCCCCTGCCGCCGACTCCTGCGGCTGAGAGGGGCCCGGCGGCCAGCAGGCGGGGCAGGGGCGAGTCTGGTCCAGGCCCCTCCGCCAGCCCCCCAAGTGCCCTCCTTACTTGTGACCTGGCGGATGACAATACGGTCCTAGGCCCTCCCCAGCCCTGCCCTGCGGACCTCTGCCGCATTTGCGCTCGCTCTCCCTTGGCCATCCGACTTCACCACCCCTTTGCATGCCCACCGGGTGGGGAGGCTGTGGAGACCCACAGAAGTAACCTGTCGGCCTGCTTGGATGCACACCACTGTTACTGCCGCCCGGAGTTGAAGAGACCACGGCCAGACACACAGCTGCTGAGCGCCGAGTCTGGCGGTGGCCTGTCCGCTAACCTTCCCACCCTCCGCCTCGCCAGCCACGCAGCGGGCTGGGTCCCAGCTGCCCCAAGCCAAGCCACTGATGCCCCACCTTGTTCCATAGGCAGGGTCTCTCCATGTGGCCATCCTGCTCGGCCTCCTCCAGGGAGCCTCCGGGTCCTGATGGAGCACTGTGACCCCAGAGTAATCGTCTGCCGACGCTGCAGGGCTCGCGGAGGCTCTAGCGGCAGGACCTGCTTTGCCCTGCACGCTGCGGGGCAGTGTGGGTTATGGGGAGCCCAGTCAGCTGGAGAAGGCCAGGGAGACTGGTCTGGACCCATGGGACGCAAGATGCCGGACCCGGGGCCTCCTAGCCACCACTCCTCACTCCTCGCACCAAGGCCCGAGTCCAAGCCCAGGCCGCGAGGGAGCAGCAGTAAGTCCGAATGTGGGGGGCGGCCGCTGGGCCCCTTTCCTAGCTGTGCCCTCTCCGAGTCAGCGCTGGCCGGTGGTGCGAGGCCATGCCCGTTCAGTACAGCCCATCACCCCCATAGAAACTCAGGGGCTTGTAGCTCAGAGGACTTCCCGCTCACAGGGGGTTCATGGGGTGTGACCTGAACAGCTGGGGTGCACGTCAGTGGGGCCTGGAGCTCCCCTCATGATTTCAGGTTGAGGTGAGGACGGCCGACCCCTCGGGGGTCTCCTTGGTCCCCTCCCCACTGTGACAAGGAGCTAGTGGGCACTGGGACCTGGGGTACTGGGAGTGGGCGGCTCACTGCAGTGACACAGGTGCCCTAAGAGATGTGGTGGGGACGCGCGCAGGGGCAGGCGCTTCCTTCAGTGAAGAACCTGTCCCTTTAGCCTCAGGGACACTTCCCACTCACTTCCCTTATTTTGAGAGCGAGATTTTTGCTGTAGGGCACGAATGCTCACCAGAGAGAGAGAAAGTGAGAAATCATCCCCCCCACCTTGGGACCAGCAGTTAGCGTAATGGCTATGCCACTGGACTCCCATGTAGTCGACCGTGGTTCAAGTCCCGGACCTGGTGGCTTAAACTCATGCCGGGCACATGTGCGTACGTGCCCAAGATCCTGAGGAGAATGGAGGAGAAAGGATTGTGGTGTGGCCATCCCCCCTGGGAGGGGAATTTCTTGCTGTCTCTCTGTCTCTTTCAGGCGAGCACACGTGCCCTATAGCAAAAACCCTCAAAAAAAAAGAAATCACCCCCCCTAGGCGGGATGGCCACACTGTAGCCCCTTCCCCATCCTCCCCTCGGGATCGTGGGCACACACACACGCGCCTGACATGAGTTTTAAGCTGCCGGGTCTGGGATGGGAACTGCAGTCAACCACACGGGAGTCCAGTGACGTAGCCACTCTGCCACCTGCTGGTCCCAGACCTCCATCCATAATTGTAGTGGTCTTGGCAGGAGACGGGACACTCTCTCGGCCCTCCTCGGTTTGGATGAAGAGCCTCAGCCCTCAGCCCACCCTTCCTGTTCACAGTGGTGTCTGAGTGGCAGCTGCTGGGACGGGACTCGAGCTGACTGGCGGGGCAGCAGTGTTGTCTGCCCACGCCCCTCCTTTCTGTGGGTGTCGCCTGGAAGAAAGCCCCGTCCTGGTGACTGTGGCCATGCTGTAGAGGGCCAGCTAATCCCAGGTAGTGCCCAATGCAGCAAAGGGCCCGGGGCCCCAACCAGAGGAGACACGGAGGGCGGGCCCCGGGAGAGCGCAGTGCTGAGACACAGGAGTGCAGTGGCCAGAGCGAGACAAGGGCCCCGAGGAGATGGCTCTGTGGCCACCCCAGTCACGAGCCCCCTCTGGATGGGTGCATTTTTGAAAGCTCTCAGCTGGTTTCGAGTTGAATGGCATCGTGGTTGGGAAGGACGTCAGCCGTGATTCCTGGTCTTTTACATTTATAATGCTTGCTATGTGCCCATCATGCAGCCTTTGGACACGCTGGCGCAAGTGGGGACCCGCGTCTGCACCTGCTGAGTGCGCTACTCCGTGTCTGCCGTGTCCGTTTGGGTTAGGCAGCACGTGACTCGTCCCGTTTTCCGGTTGTTCGTTTTTTGGCGAGACGGCCTGTACGGTGGTGAGAATAGGGCGCTGGAATTTGCAGTGATGCACGTGTCGCAGTCTCTGTGGGTCTGGTGGTCTTCATGCATTTGGGTGTGCTGATGCTGGCGCAGACCGCACTGGCTGTGGCCTGCAGGCCTGTCCGTGCACTCCCCCGTCTCAGCTCACCCTCGCAAGGCCGAGTCCAACTGTCCCCAGCTACCTTTTGTGCCCCGGCCCACATACCAGCTGCCTGGGCATCTGCCTCCGGGGACAGGAGACCGGCCAGCCAGGAGCACCCCCAGTGGTGCCCCCTAGAAGCCTGTGGCCTTGCCCGCTACCCCATCCCGCCAGAGCTGGTGGACCGTCAGCCCAGGGCGATTCCCGGAGGCGGCCTCTGGGTCTCTGGGCAAGGCAGAGTGCCTGTCCTCAGCAGCCTCGGCCTGACCAGTAGAAGGCCCTGGGTGGACGAGAAGTCTTCTGGCTGCTCTGGATGGCCCAGGCTGGAGCCTGCAGCCTGCATGTCTCCCCAAGAAGAGCCTGTTCTGGGTACAACGTCCCGGGCAGAGGCTCCTCCTCGTGCCCCCGCCCCAGCCCTTCTCCACTGGGAGCCAGATCCTCCTTGCTCTGCCTCCAGACATGGCTCCAGGAACCAGTGTGCTGTAGTTAAACTCCGGCTACGACATGCCGACTGTGGGCCGTCACCTTCTCTGCCCTGTGCTGGGTCCTCTACAGAATGTCCGGCCCTCGCCAAGGTGCACACCCGGGGGCTGACGACGGTGCTGTGTGACCCTAGGACGCTCAGGGTGGAGACCTGTCACATCCTTCCCAGACCCACCACGTGCCAAAGCCTCAGGCCTGGACCCGCCCTCCCCAAGCGCCCACCTCCCTGGTGTGCAGCGGGGCCCAGGACATGCCTGCCTAACAGGGGTGCCGTTCCTGGTGCTGGGAAGACCACGCGGGAGATGGCTCAGGGCCGGTGACACGCTGCACAGCCGTCCCCACACCAGAAATGAAGGAAGAGCGCTCCTGGAGTGCCCTCGAGGTGGCCTGAGACGGCACCGACTGAGACTTGGGCCTGACGTGCTGAAGAGACCAGCCACACGCTGAGCAAGGGCTTTATTCAGAGTGGCCCCTCCCGCCTGTCCGCTGGGGCGCGGGGCTGAGCACAGTGACATTGTGCTGTCACCTGTAGGGTGTGGGTGGTGGGCAGGTTAGGGTGCCGCAGGGGGGCAGCACTCCTCCCAGACGGGTGTGATGGGCAGGTTAGGGTGCCGCAGGGGGGCAGCATTCCTCCTGGACGGGTGTGATGGGGCTGGGGTGCAGTGTGGAGATGGGGAGGGTGATGAGGGCGGACAGGGCCAAACACGGTGGTGGGCAGGTGCGGGCCTGCTTCCAGGCCGAGCTGACCCATGTGCAAGGACACTGTCAAGGCCACGTGGTCTGCACACACCCAGACCTCAGGCCTGAACTCAACCCAAGCCCGACGTGGTCAGCCAACAGCGGCCACGGAATTGCTGCCCTCACTCCGACCGCTGCCCCCTCCCAGCCTTCATCTCTGGTGAACACCCCACCCCAGACGGCCTTGGCCCCTTAGGCTAGGACCCCAGCTTAGGGAGAAGAGCTCTCCCTCATGGCTGTGTCGGCTCTGTCCCTACCCAGGTGCCGGATCAGAGCTGTTTAGGCACCTTACCTCGTGATAAATACTCAGGCTGACGTGCGCTGAGAAGCCGGGCCGTGGCCTGGGCAGGGCAGGCCTGTCTCCCGACTGCCCTGTGTACACGAGTCGGGCTGTCTCCCCTCGTGGGAAGGGCCGGAGGGCTCTGTACTCAGGACCTGCTGGCACTCGGCCCAGCCCTGGGGACAGTCCGCACAGCCAGAGGGCCCAGCTCTGACACACCCTCAGTCCTCCCAGGGGCCCGGCTCTGACACACCCTCGGTCCTCCCAGGGGGCCCGGCTCTGACACACCCTCGGTCCTCCCAGAGGGCCCGGGACCGCCGAGAGCCAGGCCACTTGAGGCTCCTTTCCTTGTGTGGTCACACGAGCCCTTGCTTGCATCTGAGGCTGCACCGCTGAACGCCAACCTCCCACGAGGCCTCAGGCCCTACTGGGCCGCACTCACGCCTGTTGGCCTGGAGCTGAGAGAGGACCCTGACACGCCCTTGCACCTGAGCCTGCAGCGCCCCCATCCTGGTGCCAGCCAGTGCTGGGGATGTGGCCAGAGGGAAGAATGGGGGCCAAAGCCAGGGAGCAGGGATGGGGAGCCTACTGGAGTCACAGACGGTGCAGCTCAGTGACCAGTGGGCCAGGGTAGGGACCCCTGGTCAGTCACACACCCAGGCTTCAGGGGGACTAGGCCTAGCCCATCCTACAGGGACTGTGGGGTCTCGGCCCAGCAACCACCCCTGCAGAGGTAGGACCAGCATCGTGGGCGGCCCAGCCTTGCACACTGGCAGGGTTTCCAGGCAGCTCTGCCCACATGAGCCGTGGGCTCTCTCCGGGAGGGGACGCTGCAGAAGGCTGAGCCTGGCAGGCTGCTCCAGCTGTGTATCACGAAGCTTCGCTAACTCACTGCCGCTGTCCTGACAGCCTCCTAGCTGGGCATAGCTGGCACGCGTGTGCACATGGCAGCCCAACCGTGGGCTCCTGGCCAGGCTGTGCCAACCCCTGACGGACGACCTGAGTAGCACCCAGGCCTTTCTCTAATTGAGGCTGCAGGGGCACCCTTCCAGGAGGGTCTTTGCAGCCTTTCCAGGCCACAGTCCCTGACCTCAGGTGCCTGTGCCCAGCCCTGCCCTGCCCTGTCCGTCTGTCAGGATGTCACAGCTCTGGTTCCTGAACGCCAGGAGTGGGGTTCGGACCCTCCTGAGGTTAGACAGCACCCCGAGGAAGGGGGAGGGCAGCTCTCTGCCCTGCTGCCTGCTCAAGGCACCCTCCCTGCTGGGCACAGGCTGTCCTTCGCTGACCCTCCCACCCCAGACCTGGCCGGCACGCAGAGGGAGGAGGCCGCGAGCCCCCAGCCCAGGCCCAGGACGAGGTCGGAGCCCCTTAGTGCCCAGCTGTCCTCACAGCAGCGTCTATTCATCTGTCACCTCCACAGAGTCCTCGTCCTTCGTCCCCTCCGAGTGCTCGGTGGTGTCGGTGACGTCCGTGTCCGACGGTGATGACTCCTGCCGCACCAAGTCCTTGTCCACGGGGATCTCAGGCTGCCACGGCCCGGAGAAGGGGTTGCACCAGTTTAGGGAGAAGTCCCCGCCGAAGGTCTCCTTGACCGACCGCCAGCTGCGCCTGTGCTCCCGGGGCCGGCTCTCCCGCTGGAGGCGCTCGATGCCCTGGAGGGAGGGGTGAGGGCATCAGCGTGGCGGGGCCTAAACGGCAGAGTGGGGGGCCAGGCATGGCGGTGGGTCTGGGAGGCCCCTCGGGGGGCAGGGGTGGGGAGCGGCATGAAGGTGCACAGCGAGCAGGGCCTGCTGGGGACGGGCCTGCTCCCCGCCCACGCCCACCCTCCCCACCTGCACAGGCATCAGGCTGGCTGCTGGGCAGGGCTGCCTAGGGGCCGAGGGCCAAGGAGCAACATGCAGGGCCTCTCCGCGGAGACCACTAAGCAGGTGAACCCTCCCCAGGTGTCCTGCCCACCCCATGGGGGCAGTGGCCAACGAGGCATGGAATGACGGGCCGCAGACAGCATGCGTCACAGGTGAGGCAGACATGGCCAGCCAGGCCCACGTGCAGCGGGCAGCCAGAGGGCACACACACGTCGGGCTGCGTCAGGCCTGCCCATGCAGTGGACACACCCACCGGCCTCCAGGCCGCCACTCACCTGCCTTGGTGTGCGCTCCACTCGGCCACCAGGCCACAGAGGGGTGGGCGGGGGAGGAGCCCAGAGCCAAAGCCCCGGGCCAGTGGTCCAGGCCAATGCCCACACAGAGCCTCAGCCACGGGGCCTCTGCTTTCTCTCTTCCAGAAGCCAGCGGGATCTGCTGTGGGTTTGCCAGACCCAGGCACCGTTCACGCATGTGACAACACCTGGGAGGGTCTCCGCGTACCTAGGTCTAGCCTTCTGTTCCACGCGAGAACCTCCCTGATCGCCATAACCCTCTCTGCTACGCGGAAAGACAGGGCAGGCTGAGGCCGGCCACACCCAAGGCCACCCCTCCAGGACTTCTCTTCAGAGACTCCAAGAAACAGTGCATTTCAGAGTGCGGTCTCGGTCTCTGGTCAGGGCCGTGTTGAGGACAAAAGGAAGCCTTCCCAGACCACCTTGGGCACGACCAAGCTCAGTACTCCCCAAAAGGAGCCTGTCCTCACGGCCTCCTGCGTGGTGCGCCAAGGCAGGCATCGCGTGCATGGCGCCCCTGCGCGGCCTCCATCTGACCGTGAGCAAACGTGGTAACACGCCCGGGAGGGCCTGGAGGAGGACCTGCCTAGGTCTTCAAAGGGGCAACGTCCGACAGGAAAGTTCCGGAGCCATGCAGTGGTGGCCGCAGGCGGCAGGTGCGCTAGCTGGCACAGAATCGCACTCTGTAAGTAAACCTCACCGCAAACACACAGCAACAGCTCTCCCTGTGGCGCACTCCAGGAAGCCAGATCCCGCATGGCTGAGTACGCCTCGAATCCCAGCCCTGGCAGTTGAGAAGCACCCTGCGCACATGTGTGTGCCCAGAGGAAGGGAGAGGGCTATGGCGTGACCACGGCCATTTGGGGTGCTTTCTCCGGCAAGTGCACGCATCCTCTGGCAACAGGTAAAAGAGAAGTCAAGGTCGTGAAAGATGAGACAGAAAATGTCACAGACTGGACGAGACCCAGGACACGGGAGAGGAAGCGGCGTGGGGCCCCGGGCAGGAAGGCACAGCGGTGGGAAGGCCGGGCAGACCCGAACGAGGTGTGGTGGGTCAGTGGGGCCGTGGCAGTGCTTTGCCAGGTGCTCATTACTCTCGTTATAATCAACGAAACGTTTACCTCTGGTGAGGCCGATTAGACTGCACTAACTTCGCCACTTTGCTGTACGTCTGAAATTATTTACAACCAAGTCAGACACAAGGTTTATGCGATACACGCATCAACAGCGACTTCCAATAATGAAGTCCATCGACTCAAATGTCCAGTGACACGGCTAGGTAAGAGTTCCACCCGGCAGGACAGGGCCCGCCAGTGGTGTGTGGAAAGGCGGCTGGGTGCCACGTGGTCAGCTGTGCCATTAAAGCCTGGTCCCGGCAGCCCGGAAAACATGGCGGGTGTATGAGCATGTTGCCCAAAATCCCCGAAGGAGGGAGAAATGGAGCCGGTCGTGGCGTGGCCATCCCCACGGGGGTGCTTCTCACCTCCCCTCTCTCCTCTCCCCAGCAGGGCACACACCCTCTGGCAGAGTTTTGAGAAGCAGAACACTTAGCAGTCCTAAAAAGGCATTAGCGCAGTTTACAGACACTGGAGCGCCGCACTGGCGGGTCCCAGCAGAGAGCAGACCTCCGTGACACCAGGAACCCAGGCTACCTCTGAGGGAGACGTCCTGGACAACGTGCATCTATGCCTGAGAATTCTCTAATCTCCCGCGCTTTCGCTCACGTGCCAGTGCTACTTTCAGGGAGGGAACATCAAAGGCCGTTTCTGGGGGCGGCCCCACTGTCACCCTCGTGTGGCCCCGCACCTGGGCCCGAGCACAGGCCGCAGTGTGGCTCCCTAGCTAGGCCTGGGCCAGACCGTCCGTCTTGGGAGCAGCAGCGACGGCCAGCTGGGGAACTTGCTTTGAGGAGCCTCCCGTCCCTTCCTGGCGACCTTCTGTGGGCTGTCAGGAAAAGTGCTTGGCAGCTGTAGGGCAGCGGGGACACCAGTGTGTGACAGGCCGGGCTGCGGCGGCCATCCCAGAAACACGGGCTGGCTGCTCCAGGCTCACTGGGACTCGTTCAGCCACGGCCACTGGTCCTGACAGCCGCACTGTGAGGGGTGGGCTCTTCCACCAGAGGGGACACAGGTTCCGGGAGGCCGTGGCTCACCTGGCTGCCTGTGCTTCAGAACTGGGACTAGGTCCGACGTCAGGACCTCGGCTGCAGCCCGGTGCCGGCGCCTCTCCACAGGTGGCCGGTAACCGCGTCTTCTCAGTCCGCACCTTTCACCGTAATGCACGATCGGAAATATTTTTCTGGTGCAACCCAGAACACGCACACACAGCCCCAGAGTCCTTGAAACAATGCTTCTATGACATGCAATTTAAAATTTTCTTTTGAAAATATGCTGGCTGCATCCAATAAATGCCACGACCTGGGTGTGAAGAGCCAGCACGCTAACGCGCCCTGGAGCCGTGCCGTGGCCAGACGCCGGTCCCCCTTCATACGCTCACAAAGTCTTCCCGTCACGGTGTCCTCGCGATTATTTCACAGATGAGGAAACGGCTGGGGGAGGTGACCGCCTAAGTAAGGTGAGGCAGGAAGTAGCCAGGCAGGGATTCGAACCCAAGACCGAGGCCAGGGCACCAGTGCCGTCACCAGACGACGTCGCCTCGCTGCAGAAACCCTGGGTGTCCCTGGGGGTGCCGGAGCACTGCTTTCTCCGAGGGTCCGTGGTGAACACACCTCCGCAGGCTCAGTCATTCCGTGGAGCGGCTTCGTCAGCGACCTGTGCATGGTGCACGCTGATGGAGGGGGGCCCTGGGGACACCGCTGGGCTGCCATGCGACTGCTCTGGTCACTCGTGACTTTCTCGAGGGGAAGGCAGGGAAGGAGAAGCTTCTGTTTGGAAGAGCAGACGGGTCAGTGGCTCGTGTTTGTTTCACTGGGAAGTCTTTCATTTCCACGAGGCAACTGAGGTCGGCTGTGTGCGGAGAGACGAGGGTCCGCCGTGTGGGCGTCGAGGCCCAGGACAGGACCCGAGGCCCCGACACGTGTGTGTGGCTGGACTGGAAAAATGAACGCTCGAGGCTCAAGATCACTCACTGGCTGCTGCTCGGCTGGAGGCCTCGGACTCCCGTCTTTCCTTCACTCAAAGGGGTCCTTGGTCCAGGGACAAGCTCCACCGACGAGACGCACGAGGCTGGCAGGCACACGCACACGCATACCGTGGCTCTGCTTCCAACAGGCCTGCACCCAGCTCTCAGCGCTCACCTGCTGGGGAGGCCTCGCAGCTGCCGGCCACACTGAGCCCACAGCACCAGGGACCCCATGAAGGGCCCTCCTGTGCCCCAAGTGGGTTCTCAGACCTGTGTGCCCGGATCCCCGAAAGGCTGCACAAACACTCTGCTGAGCCCCGCTCAGATCTGCTGTTGCAACAGGTCTGGGGTGAGCCCGAGAACTGGCTTGCGGGGACCCCAAGAACGTCCTCGAGGGGGCGCTAGCGCTGCTTCTCCTGGCATTTCCTCCACCTTTAAGGGCCCTTCCAGGCCGACCCCTGGCTTCTCTGGGCTGGCCCAGTCTTTTGGCTGATGCAATGCCAAGTTTGAGATGAGAGGGACACAGTCGGCCTGGCTGGGGGAGGTCTCTGCGTGATGCCGGCCCCGCACAGGTGGTAAATAAATGTTAGGGCTGGCAGGTGGCGTGGTGGTTAAAGGCACTGGACTCCCACGTGGCCCAATGTGGTTCAAGTCTCGGACCTGGCGGCTTGCTTTCCCACTTTACCTGTCTGTCTTACTCTGCCCCTCTCTAGTCAAATTAAAATCAGCAAATAAATAAAATAATTATTTTTTAAAAAGTTTAACTGACCTCACCTGAGAGGTTTCTGGATCAGGGCGGAGGGCTCTATTCTGCAGCCTGGTCAGAACGAGCAAACGCTGGCAGAACCTGGGCTCTTCCAGAAAGTGTCACAAAGAGGACACGGAAGGCCTGCAGGAGCCACCTGCGCTCCTTCCCAGGTGCACCTGGTCCACGCAGCATCGGCTTCCCTGCAAACAGCCTCGTGCCCAAGTCAACAGGGGGAAGGGACGGGGTCACCTCAGCCACCCACAGCCCGTCCTGGAAGACTGGCTTCTGGTTTACTATCCTCGCATGCTCTCGGCCGCCTTGGCCTCTCGTGTTCCGTCTGGAAACCAGGCAGAGGGCACAGGCGGGCTAGCGGCCCACCCCCCCCACCAGCCACTTCCTTGGCCCCCGGGCGTCAGCTCCATGAGAGTTCCACAGAAGTGCGGGGGTCCCAGGCACCCCGTCTGCTGAGGGCAGCACTGAGTGAGTGCTGGAGAGCTGGGGTGCACTCTCCAGCCAAAAGGCTGGTTAGACACCCAGGGCAGTTACAGCCGTGTCTGAAGGCCTTCTCAGGAAGTCCGAGCAGCCTACTCTAGCTTAATCAGTGTTTCTACTTTAAGGACTTACCGAAAAAAGCACCTACTATCTACTGTGAACCATAGAAAAAAAGCCACTTGGGTCACTTAGGAATACCTCTGGGGGGCCAGCAGGTGGCGTGGGGATTAAGGCACTGGACTCCCACTTTGTAGAGCACAGTTCAATCCCCAGGCCTGGCAACTTGCTTTCTCACTCTTTCTCTGTCTCTCTCTGGTGCGCACATGTGCCTGATGGCAAATTAAGTAATAATAATAAATAAAATTAAATAATCCTTTAGGAAATAAACAATGCCCTTGGGCTGGCCCCGTCGCCCAATGATTAGGGAAGCCAGATCCCACAGGACCAACCACAGTTTGAGTCCTGGCCAGGATGGCTTAAAAAACACACTGGGTACATGTGTGTGCATGCCCCAGGTCCCAGTGGGATGGAGAGATAGAGGAGAAGGAATCGAGGCATGACCGCGCCCCATGGGGAGGCCTGCTCTCCCCACTAGCAAGCACATGTACCTTCTGACATTTAAAAAATAAAACGCCCTTTAAAATGGACAAAGGTTATCCAAATAATTAAAAAATACTGCCTGGTCCCAGCCTCTCTGCCCCAGAGGGAGGCCCAGAGCCTGGCACGGCCTCTCAGGGCACCATCCTGAGGGCGGGCCAGGTCCCTCCAAACCACTCAGCCGTTCTGCATCGCTGCCCTTCTCTCACCCCTCCCTAAACTGTAATTTATAAAAGGTGCATGTGGCGGGCAGCTGCTCAAGGTGAGGCGACACTTGAGAACAGAGGCTCACCTCAGCCTTGATGCGGGGCACGGCGCTCGGCCAGACGCTTGAGGGACGGTCCTAGCTCCTCACTGACATCAGAGCAGGACCTCCTGGAAGCAGTGCCCCAGAACCGGGCGGGGCGAACCCGATGACGTGTTCTGTGGCACCCGAGCTCACGGGCTGCAGAAAGCCAAGGGGCAGGCCCGGCGGGGTGAGCTGGCTCAGGAGAGGCCCACAGATCGCCTTCAGAAACCACAAAACCTCGTTCAAGAGCGGGCACAGCGACACAGGGACGCGAGCAGACAGGACTGCCACCCTGCCCCGCGGGCGCCCGTGCAGAGAGGAGAGCTCAGTCATGGGCTTTGGAAAATTTTTATTGCGTGTTTCCATGTGGAAGCGCCGACAGGACGGAACAGAGGCAGCAGGTTCCACCGGCTTCTGAGAAACCCCAGAGGCGGCGAGGTCGGCCCCTCCCGCCCAGGCAAAAGCTAGAAAGGTTCATGGCAGTCGGCTGTGAAGACGAACCCCCGCGTGAGAGCCCGTGGCGGCCAGGGCTGACTGGCTCCTGCCCCTCCAGCCTCAGTCCAGACACCCCTTCCGAGAGAGACTTACCACAGGAAGCACCTCCCAAACGAGTCATCTGCCCCGTGCGCAGGGCAGGGCTGGTCCCGGGGCTGGGACAGCCGCCTGCACTCAGAAGAGCTGGGGCGCAGTCGTGGCACCCCAGCAGCACAGGAATCCCTGTGCCGGTGAAGACGCAGACACGCGTGGACACGTGTGCACTCTCGGGTCTCACGTGTCACCAGGAACCGAACCCACTCGGGTTTAGAAGTGGGGCGAAGGCAGGGCTGCAGGGGTTGGCACCAGTGCCTGCTCCGCTCGGGGCTCGGGACCAACGCTGTGGAACGGCCGTCAGGCCAGGGCCCCAGGGAGGCGCACGGGCGACAGGAAGCGGGGGACGGCGAGTAGCGCGGCTGGCCTGCAACGGCGTGCTTCTGTCCTCCTTTGATTGTGTAAGGCATTTTGAGCTGGAAAAACCTCTTCCTCTCGTCCAAAGAATCGGAGAACAAACTCGCTGATTCAGAATACGAACAGGACCCTTGGCCTCCCCGTCCCGAATCGCGGACGCGCCCCAAGCCCGGAGTACAAGGCAGACGAGGACAGCCGGTAGGAGCGAGCGCGCCCGTTGGCGCAAGGCCGCAGCCCTGCCTGGCCCCCCAGGCCTTACGGGGTAGGCGTCCGTCTTCGGTGGGCGTCTAAGTCTCATCGGGGTGCCTGCTGCCGCCCCCCGGGGCAGGCCCGGGTCTGCCTGGCTCTCCTACACACCCAGCTGGCTTCCGGACGGGTCCAGCCACGCGCAGCGGCCCGTCTCGCTGTTAGTGGGCGCGGGCGTGGGCACGGGCGAGAGGCGGCACCCTCGGCGTTAGTCAGGCCAGACAGACAGCAGAGAGACCAGAGGCCAGAGAAATTTTAAAAGGAAAAAGAAGAGCAGCTTCTGTCACCAAAAAAAATGGAAAGGATGATTTGTAAAAAGAAAAGATGAAACTTTTTTTTCTCTGCAATGCTCAGCCGTTTCCCGGAGACATACAAAGTTTTCGAGGAGTAGTTTTGCTTTGTCGGCCTAGACAGTGGTGAGGACCGGCCGGCCGGCGCTGTGACCGGTGCAGTGGCTGGGTCTGGGTGCCAGCGCGGGCCGGGTCCTTCAGACCACGTACTGGTACGGGTCTGCCTTCCCTTGGTCTGGCGTGGCAAAGGGGCTGGCCCAGCCTAGAGAGAAGGGGTGGCCGAAAACGGCTTTCATGTTCATCCATTTTGTTTTTTTGGCCCATCTTCTCTCTTCCTTTTTCAACTGCTCTATCCCCTGCAAACAAGAACAACCACACTTCAGTCGGGCGCTCCATGGCTGCGGCCTGGGCCGGCGGGGCCAATGCTGCACGGGGCACCGGGGCGTCTCCTCATGCAAACAACTATGCAGGGCCAGCAGCCGGCGTGGTGGTTAAAGGCGCCGGACGCCCTCGTGGCCGACTGCGGTTTGAGTCCTGGACCTGGCACCTTGCTTTCTCGCTTTCCCTTTCTCTCTCTCTCTGTCAAGTTAAAAAACTATAGTAACAAATGGAATTAAATAAAAAATTATTTGGCGGGGGAACTAATGCTCCTGGGGCCATGGTTCTGTGTGAGTCCCCCCAACGCGGAGGCCCCAGCCTGCCCTGTGCTCTCAGTGGCGGTTCTGTGCAGCTGATGAGCACATCCCTCCGGACCTGGTGTGGTGCAGATGGGCTTGCTGGGCAGGCCTGGCGTGGAGCCCGCTGGCAAGACTACCAGCAAGATCGTCACTTTGGGACAGGCTCCTGGATGGCTGCGGCATGACCACTTTGCAGACAAAAAAAAATAAATAAAAAGAAACAAGTCTCGTGACTGCTCTGGCGTCCCCTGCCAGCCGGGCCACTGTGCAGGGCTGCTGCGACGCTGAGAGGCACGGGAGTAAGAGGCCGCGGTGAAGACAGGTCCAGAGGAGGGAGGAGCAGGCATTAGTACAGGTTAGCAGGGAGCACGCCCGCCAGCTGGGCTGCCGCCTGAGCACTTCCTCTGTGCGCCAGGAAAACGGGGGCTGGGAAGCTCCTCCTCTGGAGGTGGAGCGGGCAGCCAGGGGAGCGCTCAGAGGGCCTAAGGACGGGCTGCAGCGTGGGCCGGGGAGAACCAGACAGCAGGGGCCGACCAGGGTGTGCTGGGAAGACACCCTTCCCCGGGGCGCGGCCCACCCGCCTCCCTTTCCAACACAGCGCTCTTACGGAACAGCCCGGCGAGAACTCCCAGGACCGGTGTGCACCCTGCCGGCTGCCCGCAACCCTGGCCCCTATGGCCCCCGTAGGGTTACGCAGGGACGTCACCCACACCCACTTCCAGAAACAGCTGCGTCTAAACCACCGGCCGCTGCTTCTACAGGAACTCTCAGCAACAGCATCATTCCTTAGCTAAGCTGCTGAAAGGCCCACACCCTCTAAACCGCTGGCAACTCCACCAGATCCAAACCACGGCACCTCCCTACGCTGTGACCTCCATCTCAGGGAAGGGGCCCGCAGCGAGAAGGCTGTCTCCCTGCAGGCCTCCATCCAACGCACAACCGGAGCCCCCAGACCACTGCTGCGGGCTGCCGCGGGGCCGGGAGCCAGGAGTGTGAGCACTGTGTTCCCTGAGCTGGACCCCAAGGCCAAAACAGGAGGGACCGCCACGTCACGGCCAGGGAAGAGCTCCCTGAGGCCTCTGGACCTCGGGAAGGTCGGACATGCACCAGGAGCCCGGGGGAACACACCCTTGCCAGCCCAGCCTGCAGCCTCTACGCTCCCAGAGGTGCCGTTACCACCATGGAGGATGGTGCACGCAGAGAAGGCCAGAGCTGGCGTCATAGCCCGGCAGGAACTTGGTGCCCTGGGAGTGCAGGGCACCTGACTGCCCCAGCACCAGCCGGGTCCTCCCCTCCATGCAGAGCCACCCTGCCTCTGCCTGCCAGGCTAGGTTCCCTCTGACGACACCCCATCTCCAGCCTGTGGCTCCAGAGGTGGAGGGTGTCCCGGTGTGCGGGAGAGCGACCGCGTGTGGAAACAAACCACCTGGGGGTGGAAGGGCCACAGCACAGCAAGATCCGAGCAGAGGCGGGCCCATTTCTGGGGGCACCCGCGCCCGGCTTCGAGGCTTGAGGCCAGTGGTGCGTCACTGCGAAGGAAGCCACTGTGCCCTGCATGCAGAGCCCGCCCTGGGCTCTCAGGTCTGGGTGTGAGCAGCCCTCCCAGCCACCCCTGCCCAGGGACCGCCAGACCCGGTGCGGGCGGGCGCTCACCGTCTCGTCCGTGCAGATGGAGTGCACCTGGGTCCCGAACATCACCGACGTGAAGATGAGGAACAGCAGGCCCTCAAAGCACAGCAGGATGAGCAGGATGACCGTGGTGGGCGGGGAGAAGGAGCTGCACTCTGCAGGGGGACAGGCGGCTGCGGCTCCACAGACCTCGCCGCCCGCCCGGGCCCTCCT